TCCAGGTCCCTGCTTAGCTTTCAGGGGCCAGAATATTCCAGCCCTCACTGGCTGCCTCCCATGGCAACAGATAGAAATAGAAGCTGGAGTTACAGTGAAACTGGGACTTGAACCCAGGCACTCTATGATAGGAGACGCTGGAGTCCCAAGCAGTGTTGGGCCTGCTGCGCCAAATGTTAGACTCCCATTAAAAAAAAATTTGTTTGTTTGTTTGTTTGTTTGTTTTTGGATGTTCGGTTGTTTTCACTTTGTTGATTCACTGAAGTTCCTGACAGAGAAGGCTATAGGTTTGTCTACCAGATGTTAAATTTGTCTATGATATCCTTTGAGGAACAAGTCTTTAATGAAGTTAAGACCACAGATTTTAGTAATTTCGTCTTTCCCATGAGTAGATAAAGCAGAAATAAGAACTTGGTCATCACAGAGGACGCCTTAGGAGTGATGTAAGCTTCATGACTGTCATTTTCTCAGCCTCTCACTTAGCTTAAGGAAGCAGTAAAAGGCTGGGTGCCACATCATCAATTGAATTTTTTAAAGACTTTTATTCATTTGAAAGGCAGTGACAGAAGGGACAGAGACAGAGATCCTCCATTTGCTGATTTGCTCCCCAAATGGCTACAACTGCCAGGACTAGATGAGGCCAAAGCCCGGATCCTGGAACTAAATCCTGATCTCCCACATGGATCACAGAGGCCCAAGCACCTGGGCCATCTTCTGCTGCTTTACCAAGTACACCAGCAGAGAGTGCAAGTAGAGCCCCTGGGACTCCAACAGGCACTCACAGGATGCCCGTTTTTTGCAGGCAGCTTAATCCACGCACCTCTGTGCCAGCCTTTTGATTTACTTCTTAACATTGTCATTTTTGTATATTATCATCATTTACTTTTATCACTGTATGTTTGTGCTGTTGAGATCGTTCTTGTTTATAAAGGCTGTGTCCATACCTGTGTCATAAGCTTCCAGCATTCTCTTTGTCAGCTTAAATAGAAAACAGAAAGATTCTCCGAAGTTTAGTAAGTAATCTTTTACATGGCAGAGTAATGCTACCATGGGAAACTAGGAAAGTATCCAAAAAGGTTGAGGCAATGGGATTTCTTTTTTTAAGGATTTAGTTTTACATTTTTTTTTTTCTTATTGGAAAGGCAGATCAAATTTACATAGAGAAGGAGAGCAAGAGAGAAAGATCTTCCATCTGCTGCTTCACTCTCTTAAGTGGCCACAACGGCCAGAGCTGAGCCAATCTGATGCAAGGAGCCAGGAGCTTCTTCCAGGTCTCCCACGCAGGTGAAGGGAGGTCCCAAGGCCTTCTTCCCATGCCACAAGGGGGAAGCTGCATGGGAAGTGGAGCAGCCAGGACACGGACCAGTGCCCATATGGGATCCTGGCAATAGATATAGCTGTTGCTTTTCCAGGCACATCAGCAGGGAACTGGGTTGGAACTAAAGTGGCTGAGACTCAAACTAGCACCTGTATGGGATACAAGCACTGCAGGTAGCTGGCCCCAGTGGAAAGTTTTTTTGCTTGTTTGTTTTTGTTTTTTATTGGAAAGTCAGATTTACGGAGGAGGAGAGACAAACAAAGATCTTCCGTTCGATGATTCACTCCCCAAGTGACCGCAATGGCCAGAGCTGCGCCAAGCTGAAGGTAGGAGCCAGGAGCCTCCTCCGGGTCTCTCACGTGGGTGCAGGGTCCCAAGACTTTGGGGCGTCCCCCAAATGCCCTCCCAGGCTTCAAACAGGGAGCTGTAAGAGAAATGGAGCCGTTGGGACACAAACTGGCACCCGTATGGGATCCTGGCGCATACAAGGCAAGGATTTAGCCACTAGGCTACAGTGCAGGGCCCAGTGGAAAGTTTAAAGGCAGGTGGGAAGCATGCACATTATTTTTGATAAAGTAATCCTTTTCTTTTTTTTTTTAAAGATTTATTTTTATTATTTTTTCATTGGAAAGGCGGATATACAGAGAGGAGAGACAGAGGAAGATCTTCCGTCCAATGATTCACTCCCCAAGTGAGCGCAACGGGCCGATACTATGCCGATCCGAAGCCAGGAGCCTCTTCCGGGTCTCCCAAGCGGGTGCAGGTTCCCAAAGCTCCCACGCGGGTGCAGGTTCCCAAAGCTTTGGGCCGTTCTCGACTGCTTTCCCAGGCCACAGGCAGGGAGCTGGAAGGGAAGCGGGGCTGCCGGGATTAGAACCGGCGCCCATATGGGATCCCGGGCGTGCAAGGCGAGGACCTTTAACCACTTGTGCCACCGCGCCGGGCCCCCAGTAATCCTTTTCTACAAAAGAAGTATTTACATGCATATGGCTATGCATATGGCTTCTATACCAGGTTGTCCTTCCGGCAGAGCCTTTTAGGATAGTTCTTGCATCAAGCCCAAGTGTGAGAGCCCCTCATGCAGAACTGCCTGGCTTTATTTATCTCTATTAAGGCTTGTGTGTTTTTTTTTTTTTTAAGATTTTAATTTACTTTTATTGGAAGTCAGATATACAAAAACGAGGAGAGACAGAGAGAAATATCTTCCATCTGATGTTTCACTCCCCAAGCGGTCACAATGGCCGGAGCTGAGTCAGTCTGAAGCCAGGGGCCTCTTCCAGGTCTCTCATGCGGGTGCAGGGTCCCAAAGCTTTGGGGCGTCCTCCAGGGCTTTCCCAGGCTGCAAGCAGGGAGCTGGATAGGAAGTGGAGTAACCGGGATTAGAACCGGTGCCCATATGGGATCCCGGGTTGTTCAAAGCAAGGACTTTTAACAGCTCCACTATCATGCCGGGCCCAATCTCTATTAAGGTTTAATGAAAGTGCACATACCGATTCTAAAAGCTGTCACATCTTCTATTAACTATTTTATCATCTTACTTCTTTTTTTAAAAAAGATCAGTGCATTTATTTGAAAGGCAAAGGGACTAATAGAGAGAGAGACAAAGATCTTCCACCTGCTGGCTAACTCCTCGGATGACTGCAGCGGCTGGTGTTGGTCCAAGCCAAAGCCAAGAGCGTTTGGGTTTCTCCCATGGATGGCCAGGGCCCAAGTATATGGACTTTCTTCGCTGCATTCCCAGGACATTAGCAGGGAGCTGGAAGCAAAGCAGCCAGAACTCAAACGTACACTCACGGGATGCTGGCATTGCAGGTGGCAGCTTAACCAGCTGCACCAGAATGCCAACACCTTCATTTTACTCTTCAAAACTTTTATCTGGATTAAGAAAGGGATCAAGTTGTAGTTTCAAGCCATTCTGGCTTTTCTGGTTTTCTAAGCTCTATCAACCAGTTTGTTTCCATTGCTTGATGTACCCTCCTTATGCTAAGTGGCTGCATGATGAGTTTTATGGAAAAGCTGTAAAAATTCTGCATTATCTTTTTTTAAAAAAATATTCATTTATTTATTTGAAAAGCAGGGAGAAAGAAATGTTCGACCTGCTGATTCACTCCCCAAATGTCCACCAGGTCCAGGACGGGGCCTGCCGAATCCCGGCATCTTGAACTCATTCTCCCACATTAGTAGCAGGTGCCTGAATGTTTCAAACCACCACGTGCTAGCTCCCAGAGCACGCATTAGCAAGAAACTGGAGCAGAAGCCAAGTCGGGATTTGACTCCAGGCACTACAATACCGAATGCAAGTGTCCCAAGATGATGTCCTAACCACTGCCCCCAAATGCCCATCCCAAGGCAAAAGTGGCAGAGAGAGGGAGAGAAACAGAAAGAAGGTTCAGTTTTTTTTTTTTAAGATTTATTGATTTTAAAATGATAGTCTTATCTACTTTCTTGTAGCCCTAGTTGAGAATAGCATCTGATAATATTCTATTTTGTGAAAGAAAAACAACCTTATAGATAGCAAATATTATTAGAAAAAGTAACATGAAGAAGGATGTTGACAAAAAAAATTTATTGATTTTAAAGGCAGATTTTTAGAGTGGAGAGAAGGGGAGAGACACAGATCTTTCACCAGCCAATTTACTTCCCAAATAGTTGCCATATATTTGTTTTCAACAGTATACATATAGGTCCAGCACTGTGGCCTGGTGGCTGAGGTCCTTGCCTTACACATGCTGGGATCCCATATGGGTTCTGGTTCATGTCCCAGCGGACCCACTTCCCATGCAGTTCCCTGCTTGTGGCCTGGGAAAGCAGTGGAGGACGGCCCAAGGCCTTGTGACCCTGCACCCACATGGGAGACCCGGAAGAGCTCCTGGCTCCTGGCTTTAGATCGGCACAGCTCCAGTCATTGTGACCGCTTGGGAAGTGAATCAGCAGATGGAAGCTCTTTCTGTCTCTCCTTCTCTCGATGTATCTGACTTTCCAATAAGAATAAATAAATCTTAATAAAAAGCACACACATAAAAATATTCATTGTAGTATGTTCAGAGTACAATATTTGGAAACCACCTAAGGTTTCTGACATTTAACAATGGAGGTTAAAAATAACATTAAAAAAAAAAAAGAATGGAGTTTAGATAGTGTCTTTTTTTTTTTTAAAGATTTATTTATTTTATTACAAAGTCAGATATACAGAGAGGAGAAACAGAGAGGAAGATCTTCCGTCCGATGATTCACTCCCCAAGTGAGCACAATGGCTGATGCCATGCCGATCCGAAGCGGGATCCAGGAACTTCTTCCGGGTCTCTCACACGGGTGCAGGGTCCTGAGGCTTTGGGCCGTCCTCGACTGCTTTCCCAGGCCACAAGCAGGGAGCTGGATGGGAAGTGGAGCTGCTGGGATTAAAACCGGTGCCCATATGGCGTTCAAGGCGAGGACTTCAGCTGCTAGGCCACGCCGCCAGGCCCAATAGTGTCATGTTTAAAGGAACATGACTGGAAACCACTTAAGGTGTCTGACATTTGGAATGGAGGTTACTGTGAAGTATGATACTATCTGTTCAGTATACTTAAAACACATTTTTAATAATATTGAATCATGGGGCAATGATCATGTTCCAGTGAACAGTTTTACAATTAGATTGTGGGAGGAAGCATTCACACCCACATTAAAAATAATTTTTTTTATACTTGCCTGGCAGGGGAGATACCATGATCACAAAAGTGGTTTTCCCAGGGCGAGGCTCCTCCATGGCACTCCGGCTGTGCTGACCCTGCGATTTCCCCAAATGTGGGAAACTCGACTGCATAATTTGTGGTAGTGGAGGACTGCATTCATGCTCTCCCCTGTAAAAAAAAATATGTATATATATAATAATAATAATAATTTTTATCCAGTTCAATTAACATTACAGTTGGCTGATTGATGTAACAATTGGTATATTATTTTTTTTATTAAAGATTTATTTATTTTTTATTACAAAGTCAGATATACAGAGAGGAAGATCTTCTGTCTGATGATTCACTCCCCAAGTAAGCGCAACAGCCGGTGCTGCGCCGATCCGAAGCCAGGAGCCAGGAACCTCCTCCAGGTCTCCCACACGGGTGCAGGGTCACAAGGCTTTCAGCTGTCCTCGACTGCTGTTCCAGGTCACAAGCAGGGAGCTGGTTGGGAAATGGAGCTGCTGGGATTAGAACCAGCACCCATATGGGATCCTGGTGCATTCAAGGCGAGGACTTTAGCCTCTAGGCCACTGTGCCAGTCCCCAACTGGTGTATTATTACTTAACATAACAATTATTAGTTCAACTTCAAGCTTTTATATTTTAAGCCATTCCACTTTTCAGTTTCAAAATGCCTACCTGCTTTTGACAAGTCCAAAACCCTGTGCCTGGCATGCCAACTTTTTTTTTTTTTTGGTACACTATTTTTTTTTAAGATTAAAAAAATTTTTTGTTTTGTTATAGATTTATTATTTATTTTTTTATTACAAAGTCAGATATACAGAGAGGAGGAGAGATAGAGAGGAAGATCTTCTGTCCAATGATTCACTCCCAAAGTGAGCGCAACCGCCGGTGCTATGTCAATCTGGAACCATGAACTTCTTCCAGGTCTCCCACATGGGTGCAGGATCCCAAAGCACTGGACCGTCCTCAACTGCTTTCCCAGGCCACAAGCAGGGAGCTGGATGGGAAGTGGAGCTGCCGGGATTAGAATCAGCGCTCACATGGGATCCCAACACGTTCGAGGCGAGGACTTTAGCTGCTAGGTCACATCGCCGGGCCCCGATTTATTTATTTATTTATTTATTTATTTATTTTTTATTGCAAAGTCAGATACACAGAGAGGAGGAGAAACAGAGAAGAAGATCTTCCATCCGCTGATTCACCCCTCAAGTGGTCGCAACGGTTTGAGCTGAGCCAATCCGAAGCTAGGAGCCAGTAGCTTCCCAGGCTTTGGGCCGTCCTCAACTGCTTTCCCAGGCTACAAGCAGGGAGCTGCATGGGAAGCAAGGCTGTCTGGATTGGAACTGGAGGCCATATGGGATCTTGGCTCATACAAGACATGGACTTTAACCACTAGGCTTGTGCCGACCCGTGCCACCTTCTTGGTGGGAACTACATAGGAGCGAGGAGGATGTTGGGGCTCAGGGAACAGCACAGATAGAAATCTGAGTAGAGGGCCTGGAACAATAGTTTTATTGGCTGATCCTCCCCTTGCAAAATGCTAGGATCCGTTATGGGTTCCAATTCATGTGCCACAGTGCCAGGCCCAACAGTAAATAAATCCTAAAAAAAATTTAGCCCAGATAGAGTGGTCAATACATGATACAGCAGGTTGGACTTCCCCCTGCAATATGAGCATTCCATATTTGAGTGCCGACAAGAGAGAGTCCTGGCTGCTCCATTTCTGGTTCATCTCCCTGCTGTGTGCCCAGGAAGGCAGTGGAATATGGCTTAAGGGCTGGTGCGCCTGCCACCCACCCACATGGCCGTCCCCGATGGAGTTCCTGCTTCCTGCAGTCAGCCCTGTCCAACCCAGCTATTGCTGAAGAGTGAACCAGCCCACGCAAGATCTCTCTGTCACTCTATCACTCTGCCTTTCAAGTAAAATAAATAAATTGAAAAGGGGAGCTCCAAGAGGATGTCAGCAGGCTCCCCATGTTGGTGTTTGGGGTAACGGAGATGCAGGGAGCGTGCAAGGGAAAGGTGGGAGAGAAGCAGATTCGGGATGGTGGTCCAGGCGTGCACGCAGGCAGGTCCAGCTGGAGGCAGCCCTCAGTCACATGCCTGCGTCTCAGCTCCTTTGCAGCCTTGTCCTCCAGCCCTCCAGCTGGTGAGGCCCCACCTGAGGTATGTGGTTTTCACTCCTCTGCCCCTCACCCCAGCTCTGAGCAGTGCCACAGGGCCAACCCCACAGTGGAATTCGGTGCCTCCACGCAGGGGGCCCATGGCCAGCTCCCTTCCCCTATGTTAAGTCTGCATCTTGTCCCTGCCACCTGTGTCCCTTCAGTGAAAACTGTGCCAACGTGGGATTCACCGAGAGCATGAACACCACGAGGCTGCACTCAACAACTGCAGGGTGGACTGACAGCTGCCCCATCCTGTGCTCTCCCTTCTGTCTCCCCATCCACCTCCTGCCCTTCATAGCCTGGGCAGCGGGCCTTCAGGCTCTGGTGTGCCCATGTTCTCATTTCCCATCTTTAGTGTTTTCCTCTGCTCAGGGCAGTCTGCCACAACACCCTTAAACTGTTCTTCTCAAGGTCATTAACCACCCTTGGTTGCTAAATCCTGTGGTTATTTTTTCACCTCTAACGTACTTGTGCTTGTTGCACTAAACACTGTTAACCTCATCTCTTCGTGAAACATCTCCGCTGTCTGCCCCTTGCCCTCATGAGCTGCTCCCCTTGCTCCACCTGACCCTTTAAAGGAGTTAGCATTGCTTGTCCTTAACACACACAGCCCTATCCCATCTGCTCAAAGTCCTGCAGTGAGTGTACAGTGCTTCTTACCTTGGCTGCTGAGGCCCTGCCCGCCTCCTGGGTCCCCGTCCCACCCTGCTCGGTCTCCTGACTCCTGAGGGTCTGCCTGGCTCCTGGGTCCCCTCCCCCTTGGTTCCTGAGGCCCTGCCCACTTCCTGGGTCCCCGTCCCACCTTGCTCGGTCTCCTGGCTCCTGAGACTTGCAGTGTCAGGTGCATTGGCACTCACTGTTTGCTCTGCCACAAAGAGTCTTCCTCCAGTGCTTCCCTGGCCTTCCCTGAGGTCCCCTCTCTCCCGCGAACACATATCATGACAGCCCCAGTGATTGGGTCCTTCATAGCACTTACAACAGGCTGCAGTGCTGGGCTGCTTGTTTAGTTTAGTTTTATTTATTTGTAAAAAAAAAAAAAAATTATTTATTTGAAAGGCAGAGTTACATAGAGAGGGAGAGACAGAAAAAGAGAACCCTTCCATCCGCTGGTTCACTCCCCAAATGACTGGAGCTGAGCTGATCTGAAGCCAGGAGCCAGGAGCTTCTGGTTCTCCCACAAGGATACAGAGATCCAAGTACTTGGGCATATTCTGGTTTCCCAGGCACATGAACAGGAGACTGGATCGGAAGTGGAACAGCTGGGACTCAAACCAGTACCCATGTAGGTATGGGTGCTTCTTGCTGTGGCTTTCCCTACTGTGCCACAGCTCCAGCTCCTGCTTATTTGTGATGTCTTCCTCATCAAAAGTGTTGATAAGAAGTTTTATAACAAGTGTTATGAATTCTGTATCCCCCATTTTCTTGATGCATCCCTCAGTTAACTCTGAGGTGGGCAAAGGCTTTTCTTGGACCTTTGCAGGGGAGTCTTCAGTAAGATTCATTGTGCCTTTGTTTCCTCTTTTGCTCTTGGTCGTTGTACTTCTGGTTACCACATTCTTCTCGGGGGCGGGTTTCTAAGCTGTGTCACCCACAGGTCTACAGTTCGATTTTACTTATTGTGGTTGGTACACAGCTCTTTGTTTGCAGTCACTTGTGCTACTCCCAGCAGCAAGTTCAGGTCTGGGTTTTCATGCTAGACTTCACCATGGTCTCTGTAGTCCCAGCTCCTGATTCACAGTCTCCACCTCCTATGATCCTGTGCTGAGACTGCACCATTGTCTGTACAGCCTTTCTCCTACTTCCTGTTAGAGCAGTTCCCAGGATTAGGAAGACACCAGGTGTCCTATGTAACTAGATTGTTGGTGGTGCTGATCTTGCCAGAACCTGTTAGCTGTTAGGTCTGAGGGCCACAGGGATCCATTTTGACTCGTACAATCTCAAAGTCAGTATTATTTTCCCTGTAGGACCAATGCAATGCACTGAGTTCAGTGAGTTTGCTCCCATCTCAGCGCATGCGCAGCTCACTGTTGTTCCTACAGTCTTAAAGTTTTTCCACACTGTACAAAATGGCTCCTGACGTGCCACTACTAGAGTTCTTGATCTGCTGGCCGTCAGGTCTGAGGGCTACTCCAACCTATCTTGGGTGGAACCTGTAGAAGGTTAAGTTGTTGCAATTTACTAAGGCAGAACTTAGTTCACTCCCAGCTCAGTGCATGCACAGTACTGTCCATAGCCTTTGCCTTCCTGTACAAAATGGCGCCCAATTCAGGTCTAGAGGGTGGACTAGGCTGTGAAATCCACCCTGTTTCTACACCACCCATCTGGTACCTGCCACTCTGTCTCTGCTCCTGTTCGAATCAAACAGACCAGCAGGATGGGCAGTTCTTTGTCTGGGTTCACCTCCTGAGCTCCCAGCGAACATCCCTTCCCACCTTGTTGCTGGTGTATTCTGGCTGCCAGTGCAGTTCAGATTGCCACTTGCTGAATGCTGCTGGGGTATTGGTCATTGCAACACCACACTGTAGTGTCCACGCTTTCCCATGTCTGTCAGTCTCCAGGTGTCCCTCTGTTGTTGTTCTGTCCTCTCCTTTTTCCTGGAATGTGCCCTCTCTGCTTCACACTGGCTAATATTTCTCTGTTTAAACGTGTCCTTACCCTATTCCACCATCTTGATTCTCCCTTCCCTGTCTAAAATGTAATGCCCTTGAGGCCAGGATCTCATTTATCTTGTTTGTTAGCCCTGCCTGTTTTCTCGATACCTGGCACTGTTAGCATTACCCAGCCGTGTCTTTCTGTCTGCAACCAACTGCCACTGGAATTCTCAACTTAGTATCTGAAGAACAAGAAAACTCAGCATAACAAGAGAAAGGCTTCTGCTCCCTGTCTTCTCTTCCTGTGGTAACTAGCTACCTGGTTGAAGGAACCGCCCTCTCTATTCTCTAGGCCAGAGCCAGGGGAGTCCCGAGTGTGTCCTGCTTATTGCCCCTGACTTAAGATC